ATTTAAACCCCAAACTCCAAAAAGACAACCGGGACAACAACCAAGTTTGGAGAGAGTTGTGTTGTTTCTCTGACCCCACCCCTCCCACTGGATCTGGATGTCCCATCTCTGTTTCTTCTCAACAGTGTCCCTGTCTCCTCTCTAGATTGCGCTATTAACCATCTGTTTGCAGATCGGACAGGTCTGTTCAGCCATGGGTTGGATGAGTAACCAGGTGTTGATACAGGTGTAGTGGAAGACATGGGCACAGGGAAGAATGTTCAGCAAGTCGCCGGCTTCATATTCGGCCAGGCAGATTACACACGAGTCATACCTGTCACCTCTTCTGAAGGTCTTCACTCGGATGCCTTGGCTGGGCTGGCTCCATTTCACCCAGCTGGCCAGCAGCAAGAAACTGGTGCCCATGCTGAGGCTGATCAGCAGCCCAAACTCATGGAAGAATTTGAGGAATACTTGTTGGGTACAGTAACCCGGCCAGATTAGCAGGCAATGCAGAGCGGATTCGTAAACGGCTGCGTCCGTTTTGTCCCAGCAGAAATTGTAATGGCCCCATGGCACCACCACCATAATTTGCACATCCTTCGCTGAACGAACTTGCCTTTTCAGAAGCGTAGAAGTTGTCCCTCCAATAAACAGTGCCGGAATAACGATCTGCAATCTGCTTTCTTCCATTGGGACTGCCATGCTCACCAACAAATCGGAGTAGGAGTTGTAGATAACAGCTGCCTGGTACCCAGCTTCTTGGGCATGGAAAACTTTGAGGTTGAAGGGACAGTCGTAGCGGCGGATGAGGGCAATGAAGCTGGAGAGCGTCCTGTTGGAAGCTGGGGTGGCTTTTATGGGGTGGCAAGCGTTCGCAGGTACCGCTTCAACAAGGTAACCCTTGAGACCAGTTAGAGGGACTGGTGGACCGAAGCAGGCTGGGACAGCTTTAAAATCCAGACAGCTGTTGTTCTGGGTGTACACCAGATGAACAAATGGCGTGGCCAAGGCGGTTTCAAGAAACAAAGAAAAGGCTACTAGCAGAGGAAGAGCTTCAACTGAACACCACATGATGGAGATCACCTTCTGCAAACAGAGTGGATGGAGGATGGAGAGTGGCAGAATATCTGGAGTTCACCCCCTTGGCATTTTGGAGAGCTGGTTATGGAGCCGTTGAGGCAACATCAACCCAAAGACTGTCTTCAGGAGCAGAACCCAGATGTCTCCTTCCTCGGAACTGGCTTTCAGCGTCTCCTGGAATTATGAAAACGCAACTTGTTCACTCAGCCACACTGGCACGACACTTTCCACCACAGGGCATGTAGCTCCCACCCACTGCAGTTCTAGTAGTTGGAAACTGCCCACTCCCTTATGACATCACTCTCTCACCGCTTGGGCTACTATCTCTGAGTAGTAGGGGGAGAAGATGTCACTTGTGTGCAGGTGTGCTTCTGTGTGAAAGAGAGAAGGGCAAAGAGAATTTTTCAGTAACTCAGGGAGGGCTGAATTGGGTGGCACAATATCTAGAATGGCCTGTGAATCTTTGGGCCATTTTTGGGTTTTCCTGTTGCTCCAAGACTTGCCTGAATAACGTGGCTGTTTTGAGTTCAGTCCCACCTCTTGGGTGGTCTTTTGCTCCTAACTCTGTTTTCAGTTGTTGTCTGGTCCCTCAGGGCCAATCCCCAACACACTGAGCTGTGTCCTGGATCTCTTCAAACCATGCTGAGAGTTCAGCCTAACATACTAGCATGGATGGATGGATCATTGCAGACTAACAGGAGAGATCCATATTTCCAACAGATGACTCCCAACATTTCTGGAAGACAGGGAGGAACCCATCAGAAACCTAGCTTCACCCTGTAGGACACAGTTCTGAGTTCTCAAGGCAAGTGGAAGTGACGTCATTATTCCTGAGCTGATAGATCCAGCAACAGTCTTGTTCTGACTCAAATGAGGCTGATTTTGGCAATCTGCAGGAGATTATTTCCAGCGGAAACCAACTTCCACACCCAGCAGCAGTTTCCTCCTTTCTTTACCTTACCTCCTTACGTCTACCTTTCTTTATACCAATATAAATTGACACCAATTTGATGTCAACTCTATCAGTTCCAACCTGGGCAACATCCAGACATATGGACTTCAGTTCCCAGGATTCCCCAGCCCACTTGATCATCGATGAACATTCTGGGAGCTGAAGTCCACATATTCAGAAGCTGCCCAGGCTAGGAAACATTGATTTATGAAATGCCATCCAGGTGTCAGGTCGTGATTGGCTTCTAAGGCCTTAACCTCCCACCTTAATATTATTCATTGAACCATGCTAATATTCATGATCTTCTACCGAGCTTGCACAGGCGTTAACTTCTCCCCTGTTTCCCGTAAAGCCTTGCTATATAACTTGCCTTTGAAGTAATAACTGGTTTTAGTTCATTGTTATAGATTGCTCCTAGAGTAAGTAACTAACAGGCTTCTTGAGTAGTATGAATCTCATAAGAGTATTGTGGGTGGTTCACTCGCCCTCTTTTAGATCTGAACAGCTGAGCAAGCATCTTTCCTGCTTGACTGTTCCTTGCATCAACTGCTAAACAAATTAAGCTAGCTTGATGAAACAAGTTGCTATCAAATCTTTCTGGACCCTGGATTCTCAACATGACACTTCTGAGTGACGATGCGCCTGCATATCTTTCTTTCACTTTTTTACTCCCATCAGACCCCACCTCCCACATCTTAGCAGGGATTCTAGAATCTATGTTAGAAAGTATCCCTGAAGCCATCAAGGTCAACTAACTCCCTGTTCAGTGTAGGAATCCAAGATTAAACATCCCAGACAGATAGTTGCCCAGCTTCTGTTGAATGCCCTCAACGAAGGGAAAGCTTCTACTTCTTGGGGTCACTGATTCCACTGTGCAACTCCACCACCGTTCAGAAGAATTTCCTATGATTCATCTGCCTTCCTGCAATTTAAGCCAACTGTAATTTAGTCCTCCCTCCATTTATCCTCGTTGTAACAACTCGGCAAGGAGCGCTGTAGAATTGGATGAGGCCCCTGCAGCCAGGAGGTCCAACCCAGTCGGTGCAAAAGTCCAAACTAAAGTATCTCAGACAGATGGTTCTCCAACCTCCATTAGAACCTATCCAGTGGAATGGGGACCCATCACCCCTCTGGGTCACTGTCAACTTGCTGTTACTTTTAAGAAGTGTTCCTAGCATGCATCTGAATCTGCCTCCCTGTAACCCAGATCGATAATTAGGTGTCCTACACACTAAAACAGTGGAGAGGAGGTCATGACCTTCTTCTGGGCAACATCTCCTTAAGGCCAGGCAGTCCTTGTTCCAACAGAAGAGCACTGAAGATGTTGCCTAGTCGGGTAATGAAACGTCTGCAAGAAAACAACCAAGCTCAGAGAACCCCAAGGACTCTACGCTATTCCTTGTTCCTTTAGTCTGTTTTCATAGCACTTATTTTTTGGGGATTTGGGATCCATATATCTTGTGACGATAGGAAAGTTTGGATCTTAAACCTCCTCCAGGCCTATATTTTCATCCTTCGCTCATCAAACAAGAACTCAGCCCTGCCATATGCTCTGTGGTTTGTCTATGCTGTGGGCTATTGCCACGTCAAGATGCTCTCCCCCAGTTCCTCCAGCTTAGCCCACCACCATTCCTCCCTCCCTCCCTCCCGCCCCTGCAATATACTTGCTCATTAGGATTTTGATTTATTTAAATGTCAACAAGCCACCAAGGAAATGCAGCTGTGGTTGTGTAAGAGCAGAGCAATTAAGGAGAAAAGATCCCACTTCACCACTTGAAAAGAAGACAAACTTAGTGGAGGGATAAGCCGCCCTGCTTGGCTTTTAACTGATCACTCACCAAACCTGTTTTCTTCTCATTTTTCTCCTCTCTAGGTTGAAGTCAACCTGTCTTGACACAGGATCTCCAGTGCAGGAATCTTGTGGCTCTACCAGCCTGAGAAGGTAGCCACCCAGCCAACTACCTCCAATCATGTCATGAATCTGCTTAGCAGGATATTTTTTTAGATGTGTGAATCTTTCTATATGCTTATGGGGACAGCTCAGAGATAGGGCCTTAAATTGTCTCTGGGTCAGTGCCCAACCCAACACTTCCAGTTCAAGTCTTAGGAAGCCATTGTTGACAAAGGTGCTGAGAGTCTTCTGCTTACCTGTTGGGGGAGAAGGGTTGGAAGATGAGGGTTGAAACTGAGGGTTGAAAGCAGAGAACTAGATGTTGGGACCAGCTGAGACAGTTGTGCAAACCCAGTTCAGGTGCCCTTAACAGCCAAGCCCACAAAAGGATAGGAGAAAAACAACTTAGGATTTAAACCATGGGCTCATCCTATGAGTAAATTCTTAGGCTCTGTAGAAGCTTATCTTCATTAGGTGGGCAGAAAATATCTGCAGTAAAGCTGCTTATACATTCAAATCCTGTCCTTGATGTTTCTATGAAATGTCTTGAGATGTCTTGAGTTGGTGAGTTGATGCTCCCCACCCATGAAATGTCTTGAGATGTCTTAAGTTGGTGATTTGATGCTCCCCACTGTTTGTAAAGGACATCCTCACAACACCACCTCTATCTCATCACCAGCCCACTGGTGGATCTAAGATGTCCCAACATGAAAGTACTGTCTTTCCCCTTACCTTGACACAGACTTTCCCAGGTGGACAACCTGGACACAGGAGGAGAAGGCGGCTTGGATGACTGTTAGGCTTGGCAGTCTGCACAGTTCCAAGTAGGACAGCAGGTTTGCTATGGGATTGCTCCCTCCCACTGTGCCTCCAAGCCCATTTTGGTGGTGTGATCTTAGTAGACTTGGGGGAGTGGTACAATTGCCCAACCCTGCTTCACATTTAGGGTAATGGTCTCTGGCTGAATACAAGACCTTGGATTTTGAAGTCTCCCAGATGAGCTAGCAGGATCTTGAAGGAAAGGGAACAAGACAAGATGGGAAAGATCCTACAACACTTGAAAAATGTGGTCAGAGGAAGGAGATCTGCCTAGCCTGATGGCTTTATAGAACCAATTTGCTTCTTGGGAGGGAGTCTGACCCCATCCCCTTTTAGAAGAGGTGGAACGCTTTCTCCATCTTATGAGTTCCATCTTCTCCAACTCCACCAGTTGCTTTCTGAAGTATGACGGGGATTTCCTTAAAACCCACAATCCCTACATTGTCTTTGGCATTTTCCATCTGAGGTACAGCATTGCTTCCTCCCTCCCTTCTGTGTTATTAAAAATGACATTCGTGATGATCTTGTTTCTCCTAAAGCACACAGGAGCTTACATGCTTTGATAATAGCTTCTAAACACTCCAAATCATCTCCAACCGTAGGGACCGAGAGACCTCTATTATCTATCCCTGATTTTTTTTTTCTCTTTTGGCCATTCCTTAATCCTTTCCCATAATTACACACAGTTCTAAAAGTGGGTATTTTGCTGTACCAACATTTAACCCTCAATTTCTTATCAAGACCTGGGACTCAGTGCTGATTCCCAGACCGCCAGGAATCTGCTGCTTTGAGCGCACATCCACCGGATATCTAGGACAGCAAACGTCTGTCAGATCTATAAACTTCGCAGGCACTTGGGGTACCTCTCATTTATGCGGCTCTTATGACACTTTTCTCATTACATCTTGTAATTAGGAACAGGCAATATATTTTTCATGATCAGTACATTGGCCTTTCATTCCTTTATAATACAGGCGTCTCCTTTTCAGACTGTAAACTATACAAGATTCTCATGCTTAGTTAACCTCTTAAAAATCCTGAGCATCTCTGAGAGGACGCAAAAGTTTTGGCATCCCAAACTTTGTTCCTTTGATCTCCTTTGGAGCACCGGTTGCATCAGCTCCTGATATGCAAACCCAGTTCAAAGAATTGGAAAAAGATATTTCAGTTGAAGGATCACATAACGGATGGTTAGAATAGGATAATAATGATAAGGCTGATAGTGGTAGTAGCAGTAGCAGTAATAGTAGTAATAATACCACCTAGTTAGCTGCTGCAAGAAGATCGCACAGACTGACGAGTAGCCACAATGGTGCATTGAAAGATCTGCAAGAAATACCGCTTGCCTGCAAGCAAGAACTGGTGGGGCCATAAAACAGGCAAAGTAATCAAAAATGAAGAAGCTTGAGTGCTCTGGGACTTCAGAATTCAGACAGATAAGCACCTGCCACACAACACCTCACACTTAACCACGATTGATAAGAAAGACAAAGGAGTCTGCAGAGCGGACGTTGCAATAGCTGGAGACAGCCGAAGAGAAGAGAAAGAGCTGGAGAAAATCACAAGATACAAAGACCTGCAAATAGAAGTAGAACGACTGTGGCAAAAGAAAGCCACGAGAGTCCCAATAGCCATAGGCGCCGTGGGTGCCATCCCAAAACATCTGGAGCACCCCTTGAAGACCTTCAGCATTGGCCAAATCCCCATCA